AATCTTGCAATCGCTAGTTTGTTGGCTCTGCACTGCCGTAGCGCAAAGATGTCTGCCTCCATGGCTGCGAGACCCGCTCCTATGTAATTATAAATAACAAATTCTAAGGCAACGCAAATATTAAGTTTAAGAGGCTGAGCTCATAGATGATGATAAATAACATAGTTATGTATGTCCCTGTAATTATTACACACTGTAGCTTTGTGTCCACATTAATCTAAAATGAATTCAATGATGGACGGCATTCCTGCCCCCACCCCCCAAAAAATAAAAAATAAAATAAAAATTGAAAAGTTTTCCTAAGATTAAAAACTAACAGGGATCACTCTGTCTGCCCTGTTCTAAACTAACTAACAAAACAAACTCGTCTCAAAGCAGGCACTGATAAGAACCAAATCTTTCGGAGAGACCAGGTGTCATGGCCCCAAGGGTCCAATTACTTCATGTTTGACAAAACAAAATGTGTGATAGCTAAAGGTTCTGGCCTGAACCATGATTATATTAAAGTAAGTCAGCAATGCTGAATGTTTACTAAAGAACAGGAGAACAAATCTACCAACGCTCTCTAAAAGTGTTCTTGTATTTTTAGAAATATATGCAGCTAATGATGCCTTACTATTTTTAGTTACTATTCCTTTTTAAGGAACATATATGTTAACTTTTTTATTTATCTACCTTTAATCCTATGTGAAGAGATCACATTGTCATTTAGACAATAACTCTACAGAATTTGATACAAGCCAGAGTTTCACCAAGGATCGCCAACATTTTAAGAAAAACTTAACAGTGTTCCTTTCAATTAGGAGGCAAATAAGCAGACATCAATTAATGGACACTTACTAATTGGTCATCATCGGTGTGAGCGACACTATAAAATCAAGAGTTTGGTTTATTTGTTAAATTAGGGCACACAGGGGTTTGGCTGCAAAATGTAAGGGTAGAAATTGATCAGAAATCATTAGAAAGGCAAGTTTGTTTAATGTGGGAAATAAGGTGAACTCATTTCACAATTATTTGGAGTTCACTATTGTGTTGAAAAGCCAAGGGTAGAAACATTCAAGATGGCTCCATTCATCACAGAAAATTCAGGAGAGGTAGTGCAATGACTAAAGAAAAACCAGAGAGCAAAAAGTTCCATCTTAGACTCGGATCAGGGATAAGTGAGCATTAGTTTTTGCTTTTGTTCATTTATGAAGTCAACCAAGATGAAAGAATTATTTCTGGTTGTTTCTAAGAGTTGGAATAGAAAAGCCCATAGCAATGAAAGATGTATTTAATAAACCACCAGAGTTTTGTAACAACATCATCTGAAATGAAGAGTTGTTTGGCCTTAATGCAGAGCCCAATTCAGCAGAACCCTTTGACTCTAACTCTGAAGGACAGCAGGAACCTCTGCTGCTTCCTGATTATTATAGTGGTTCCACGCCCATAATTTAAGATTAACAGTGATAAAACTTTTTATTTTTATTTTGTTTCTTTTAATTAATGAAAAGCTTAGCATTTTGTCTGTTATTTGGAATTATTTTCTCAGTTTGCATTAATTTTAAAACACATTTAGTCCAATATTTTTTAATTCAGGATGAGGTGATGATTTATTAGCTGTTAAGATTATTTATCTTTGTTGACATGCCTCTTTGTTTTCTGTTCTGTGTTTGTATTTTATCCTGGGTACCATTGTCCGTTGGTCTTTTTTTTTTTTTTTTTTTTTTGTGTTATTCATTGTGCTTCATTAACCAAACAGTTCAATAGGTTGGTTATCTGTAGCCACACACTGAGCAGCCTGCAGCCACCACACCAAATGTGATCTCTTCCTTGATGCAGTCTGGATTAAAAAGTGACACCATCTGACAGCCATTGCTTAGACTGGATCGAGCTGGGTCATTATTAGGAGAATGATCCCAAATTCAGCAGAAAGTCTGCAACAAAATGGCTGCATAAGAAAAAAAGTCTCAATGTGTTGCAATGGTCCAGTCAAAGTCCAGACGTAAATTTGACCGAAACGCTGTTGTGGAATTGTGAGAAAGCCACAAAATAGTATTTATTTCTATATTTACTATATCCGTTGGTTGTGCTGTTCTTTTTACATCTCTTTGCAGGTGATGAAGCAGACTGAAGATATTTTATCGTTAGCTCCCTTTTATCCCCCCTTATAACTCCTTTCTTTCATCTTTTCTCCTTTTTATCAGTTTTTCTTTTCCTCTTCTACTTACATTGCAGTGTCCATACAATCTATAATACTCCCTGCATGAATTATAATAAAGCTATTTATATGCATTAATCAAGCGGAACACCATGGCGATGGCTGTATTCCTCCACTTGTGAAAGTAAAATCTATTGGGCTCTTTTTGTCATCAAGACAAATATTCTTATTGCCATATTGCTAGACAGGACACTGTTTACACTGTATTTACCGGTATTTCAAAATATATATTAACTGAAGCAGAACTGGGCCATCATTTTTAACTTATTAAACTAATAGTCATACAGAAGTTGACTCCACAGAGTACCTATATATATATATATATATTAGTGCTGTCAAAATTATCGCGTTATTAACGCGTTAACGCGAGGCCATTTTAACGGCGATAATTTTTTTAACGTGAGATTAACGCTATGTGGTTTTATGGTACAATTTTTCCAAGTACATCCCGCTGCAGCCTGCGGGAAGGCGGGGCTATTTTCCCCCAGTGTATGCATTTCTCATAGGCTTCAAGAGCGGAGCTCCTCAAGGGAAAAAGACGCTCATACACTGGGTGACGCTAGTGCCTTTTCTTTAAGCCCCACCACCAACAAACAAGTTGAGGGTCTGGTAACTAGTAGCAACCTGAAATACGCTGAGAAAACTGATTACTGAGGTGAAATGGAATCTCGTAGCAGCACTCTTGCCGTCTCTGTACGCAACAGGTCGGTATCGCGTGTGTGTGTGTGTGGGTGGGTGTGTCTGTGTGTGGGTGGGTGGGTGTGTGTGTGTTCTCATTTTTGTTAAGAGGCTGAAAAGTAACTTTCTAGAGAGCATAGACTACCTTCATCTAGTGATGTCGGTCTATTGATTTTGATGTATTGATTGAAAATTGTTCATTATTACCTTGGTTAATTAACATCTAATGTTAACTCTACTAAATTTTATAGCAGTAGGGTAAAATGCTTGTCTTTGTTCAAAAGACTGTATTAACTGTAAAGACTGTCTTTTACATCAGCCTGTTTTCAGGGCCTTTTTTTTGCCTACATATTTGTTATTTTTTGCTACATGCCTCCCCATCTTCTTGCCATATGTTTCTATGGCATAAATCAGTATCTGTGACCTGTTTTCATTTAAAAAAAAGAACATTGGCACAAACCTAGCCTGTATGTATGTTTTTGTATGTCATCGAGAGTATTTAAATGATTTTCAATCAGGAAAAAAATGTGCGATTAAAATGCGATTAATCGCGAGTTAACTCAGGCATTGATGCGATTAATCGCGATTAAAAAATTTAATCGATTGACAGCACTAATATATATATATATATATATATATATATATATATATATATATATATATATATATATATATACACTCACCGGCCACTTTATTAGGTACACACGTCCAACTGTTCGTTAACACTAAATTTCTAAGCAGCCAATCACATGGCGGCAACTCAGTGCATCTAGGCATGTAGACATGGTCAAGACAATCTCCTGCAGTTCAAAGCGAGCATCAGTATGGGGAAGAAAGGTGATTTGAGTTACATTGAACGTGGCATGATTGTTGGTGCCAGAAGGGCTGGTCTGAGTATTTCAGAAACTGCAGATCTACTGGGATTTTCACGCACAACCATCTCTAGGGTTTACAGAGAATGGTCCGAAAAAGAAAAAACATCCAGTGAGCGGCAGTTCTGTGGACGGAAATGCCTTGTTGATGCCAGAGGTCAGAGGAGAATGGCCAGACTGGTTCGAGCTGATAGAAGGGCAACAGTGACTCAAATAACCACCCGTTACAACCAAGGTGGGCAGAAGAGCATCTCTGAACGCACAGTACGTCGAACTTTGAGGCAGATGGGCTACAGCAGCAGAAGACCACACCGGGTGCCACTCCTTTCAGCTAAGAACAGGAAACTGAGGCTACAATTTGCACAAGCTCATCGAAATTGGACAATAGAAGATTGGAAAAACGTTGCCTGGTCTGATGAGTCTTGATTTCTGCTGCGACATTCGGATGGTAGGGTCAGAATTTGGCGTCTACAACATGAAAGCATGGATCCATCCTGCCTTGTATCAACGGTTCAGGCTGGTGGTGGTGGTGTCATGGTGTGGGGAATATTTTCTTGGCACTCTCTGGGCCCCTTAGTACCAATTGAGCATCGTTGCAACGCCACAGCCTACCTGAGTATTGTTGCTGACCATGTCCATCCCTTTATGACCACAATGTACCCAACTTCTGATGGCTACTTTCAGCAGGATAATGCGCCATGTCATAAAGCTGGAATCATCTCAGACTGGTTTCTTGAACATGACAATGAGTTCACTGCACTCAAATGGCCTCCACAGTCACTTTTCTTATTAATCAAACTTCTTTCCCTCGCCATTTAGGGTAGTATATATTTATGGGGCTCATCAGCCTCATCAGATGACACAACCAATGAAATTCAATGAATATTGATGAGGATAAGTCAGTCACTGGGCTGCATGGAGTTCTCCTTGTTCTACCAGAGCATGCATGGGTTCTCTCCGGTTACTCCGGTTTCCTCCCACAGTCCAAAAACATGACGTTTAGGTTAACTGGCTTCTCTAAATTCTCCTTAGGCGTGAATGTTTGCATGGTTTTGTATCTGTGTTGCCCTGCGATAGACTGGCGACCTGTCCAGGGTGTACCCCACCTCCCGCCCTTTGCCAGCTGGAGATAGGCACCAACCCCCCTCGTGACCCCAGCAGGGATAAAGCATGACAGAAAATGGATGGATGGAGGTCAGTCAGTCAACATTATAATCATGGCATCAACGCCCATATGTTCCCACCCACTAATCAATGACTGTAGTGAGCTTTGTTTAGATGTTCATGCAGCTGGGCTCCAGGAATTAGATGTTCCAGCAGCAGTTAGGACAGACAGGAGAAAAGATGAGGAAACAGGCTGATATCATCAAGGCATGGATGCTGCTTCTTATGTGGTTCCAGATTGAGGCTGCTGCAGGTAAGCTGCTACTAAAAAACACAAAAACTTATCAGGGTTTGATTGAAACGAACCGGTTAATATTGGAAAGGAGGCTTTGATGCAATGTAGCAAGCAAAGACAAAAAACAAGGGATGTTTAATATCTTTGGATTGAATGACAATTAAATGCACGTTGTGTCTTTAAAAGAGAGTGAAAGAATTCAAATAATTGGAATTGTGTCAAATATATTTACAAAATATCTTTACAAAAAGATTTGCGTAACTTTTACTATTAATTAAAGATTTCTGCTCTCTGTTGACTGACTCACTGGAGCCTCATATGCAGGCAATGCATTCAAAATGCGCTCTGTCTGCATGAAGTTTGGGGAAGGAAGTGTCAAACATTTATGAGAATCAAAAAGAGGAACCAGAATTTTTTCCTGACACAAATCTATGCTCAGATCCATGCGGTTAGTAAAATCACCCAGTCCAGCATTGAGAAAAGGCCGCAGGAGGAGGGACAAAGATTCAATTAATCATGACCCACAATCCTTCATTATTCACACACAGAGGGCAGCTGGGCTGATCAATGCCATGGATTTTCATGATACTGCTCCACTATCTGCCCCAATAAAAAGTCACATGAAACTTGCTGGCAGGCTTTGAATGTAATCTGAGTTCTGGGTGTGACTTGCACTAACTTCTCCAATTCCTCAATTTTTTTCCCCCTCCTTCTCTGGTAATAGGCCTGCTGAAAGTTGAGCTAAGCCAGGACGAAGGCATTGAAGGTAACACCATCAGCCACTCAAAAGTCCTGGTGCAGCGTCTGGAAGCCCTGCTGGTTCAGGGGAATGGAAGTGATGTGTCTCTACGTGTGGAGACGCCCAATGCAGATGAAGTGAAGATGATCCAAGCTCACTCCTTGGTGCTCTCCTTGCAGAGCCCAATGTTTGCAGGGATGCTGCAGAGCCACAACAGCAGCACTATGGTGCTAAGAGAGAGCTCGGACTGCGCCGCTGTGTTTGACAAGTTCATCAGGTGAGGCCAGGGCTGCGAATCCCCAATCCATCCCATCAGAAGAGCCAAACTAAGCCATCGTGCCATGCAATGGTCTGCACATTGCCTTACACTCAAGTCAAGAAAACCTATGCAAAATTCAACAGAAAACTTAACAATGTGGGAAATAGCTGAGCTGCTCACTGAGGTCGTCTCTGGTGCAACTATTGCAAGAGACAGAGTAGAGTCAGTAATCAATAACATCAATAACAAAAGAAAAAAAGATTAATTTTATAAATATGCACATGAGGGTGCATTTGCAATCAAACAAGTCAATGTTGTAAAATATTTCTATGCTATAACTTTAGTTATTTAACATAGGAATTCAAGCTAATTGAGATATCAGTAGGTATTGGTAAAGAACAAGAATTTGAAAAACCAAACTATGATACATGCTTTTTATGTCATCCACGTGTAAATAGCAACTGAGAAAAAAATAGAATATTTCTTTAACATTTTTGTGGTGTTTTAGTGGTGACTAGATTCTAAGAAATAATTACTTAGAATTCTGGAAAATGGTTCAAAAGTATTCTTTAATTTTTTTTTTTTAAACTGAGTTTTTTTTTTTTTTTACTAACTTTCATATTTCAACCTATTTGGTACTGTCTGGAATTTATGATGCATTGTACTGGGTTTATAGTTGGTCATCAAATACAGAGGTCACGACAACTACTGACAGGAACAGGGTATTTTTTCCAGGACATAAAGGAACGAGCAGCATCAATTTTTCCATTAATTGGAATGTTATTTTATCTTAAAATAAGGCAGCCTTTCTTAAATTTATGAGTCACTTACATGTTATAATAGAAGTTAGAGCTACTTGAAAATAATTAAAGGGTTAAAGGTGCAGGGTTTTAAGAATTACGTTACTGTCCCAGGACCTATAGGTTGAGCTCTCTGGAGCTCATGGGGGATTTTCCTTAACTTACAAATGACTCTCCTGAAATTTCTCTGTTCTTAAAGCATAATTTCTGGAATTCTGTTGGCCAGTTCCTTAAACTTGCGACTTGTTTTCTTGAGCATATATAGTACTTTTCAGTAAGATAAAATAGACTTTATTGATCTCACAATGGAGATATACATCTGTCACATCGGCTCAATAGTCAAAAAGAAGTTGCAAAAAAGAGGAAAGTGTGCATGGGATATATACAGTGCATCCACATATATATTTATACATAATAGCTGAAGTCTCTTATTAAACAGGCTTACTGCACAGGTTGTTGCACAGTGTATTAATTAGGGATTTATATATATAGATATTTATATATATAGTTATTTCACAGGGTATTAAATAGGTATTTATATAAATATTATCTTTAATATCATAAGAATCACTTTTGTTGAGCTTACCCAGTGTCTTAGATTCTACATGGCAGCTTTTGGAACTTGGCTGTATCTTGGATAACAGTCTAGTTCCCAAAATGTATGTGTCACTTTCTGGAAATTACAGTGTTCCTTTCATGCAGCATATTGTGAAATGTTGTATGGAGTTTTTTTATTTTTTGAAAGTTATGCTACTTTCCTGAACATAAAAGTATCTCCTGAAACTTATGGTGCAAATTTAAAAAATGAATGTATATTTTCCCCAAAAGGTGTGTTTGAATTACTTCTATTACATATGTTTCAGACATTTTTAAAAATATACATTTTACTTTTCTTAATTTACGTATTAAGTAATATATGGCCTACTTTCCCAGGACTTACAGTTGTGCTTTCAATACCATACAGGTTAGCTTTTCTTGAATGTACAGCCTAATTTATCAGTAATTCTAGTCAATGAAATTGAACCTAAAATGTACCCTCTTAAAATCTTAGTGCATATTTTTCCATACCACTGTAAAAAATGCTTCAAAATGAATACTCAACCTCTCCTATTTGAGGTTACAACCGCGGGGTCAATTATGGTCAAGGGGAAGAAACACCAAAACCCAGACTTTAGGTTTATCAGTTCTATGTTTATTTTTATTTTATTTTTTCCCTTTATGCAAAAAATTTAAAAATGAACAACCAAAATTACTAAGAGCACACCAGAGCTGCAACTCGAAGATCTTAAACACAAACTGATCTTTGGAGTGATTTAGGGCAACACAAATTAACTTCAAATCAATTAAGTTTATTTATTTAGCACCAATTCACAACACATGTCATCTCAAGGCATTTTGCAGAGACAATCCAACAAGATCATACAGTCAGATTGATTAGAAGTTTTCTATATAAGGAAAACCAGCTGATTTCATCGACTCATTGACTTGAAGCAATCCCTCACACCAATTTGCAGCAAACATCTGAATATAGCTAAATGTTAAAAAAAACACGTTGATTCAAAGAGTTAACAAAACATGTAGCACATTAGAAGATCACAGACACTACGTGTCACAACAAGAGCAGCTATGAAAGGCTATCAAAACCCCCAAGCATAGAGGAAAGGCAGCACAATAATTGGCAAGAATAACTTAGTATGACTATTATTATGGGATGGGTTGGGATTCTTTTTCTGTTAATTACTCAAAAAACAGGAATATAACATTTATTTAATATTTTATGGACTACAAAAACAGACAAAAGTAGAGATTTGGTCATGCTACTAGGTTTCTCTCAATTTCAACTGTAAACAACAATAATGGATACAATCCTTTGCTTTGGGTTTCTACCATGATCATGTTAGAAAATGTAGTGTTTTAAATGAACTACAAGGTTTTTAGATGCATTATGAAAAATGTGATATCCAGTACTCCGGCTACCTCCCACAGTCATGACTGTGAGGTTAATTGGCTTCTCTAAATTCTCCTTAGGTGTGAGTGTGTGTGTGTGTGAATGGTTGTTTGTCCTGTGTGTCTCTGTGTTGCCCTGTGATGGACTGACGACCTATCCAGGGTGTACCCCGCCTCTCGCCCATTGACTTCTGGAGATATGCACCAGCACCCCTCACGACCACACTCGGGACAAGCGTGTCAGATAATGGATGGATGGATGATATCCAGTTAAATAGAATTTAAATAGGTCTACCTTAATTAGAAATGGATAATTCAAAGCAACGAACCCACCAAGGATTATTAACCCAGCTTTAAAGCTCACCTGAGGCACTTTTCACCTTTAGCTTACAATCCTTGATATCTTGGAGTTTCAATAAATACAGACTACTGCCTACTTGTACAGCAATATATCTTGAAAGATATATTTATATATATGTGTAACATTTGGTTGTTCTGTGGGTCAGAGTTGAAGAAGTTAATTGGATGTCTTTTTTTCTTAGATATCTGTATTGTGGAGAAATTTCTCTTCGTCTTGAACAGGCCACTCCTCTGCACAAGCTGGCCACCAAGTACCAAGTGCAGAGTCTCCAGCAGGGTGTCACCCTCTATATGAACCAGAATCTGGCTAGAGACTCCCCCTCAGGTCATGTGGCAGGCTGGTATGAGTATGCTCTGCAGACAGGGGACATTGACCTGAGGGATAAATGTCTGCAGTACCTGGCCTGGAACCTGTCTGCAGTGCTGCAGAGCGGAGAATGGGTGACCATCAGCAGCCAACTGCTCATGACACTGCTGCAGCGCTCTGACCTTGTTCTCCAGAGCGAGATGGAGCTGTTTGCAGCTCTGGAGGCCTGGATTATCAATAACGAGCCTGATGGTTTGACCGTGGAGAATGCATTAAGAGCTGTACGTTATGCCATGATGCCCCCCAGGGAGCTTTTCCGTCTTCAGACCCAATCTACAGTCCTGGCTCGCTATCAGGAGTCAGTCCGTGACCTGCTCTACATGTCCTACCAGTTTCACTCTGCCTCACCACTACAGATGGCAAAATTCTTTGATGTGAATTGTAGCCTTTTTGTCCCAAGAAATTACTTGTCTACAGCTTGGGGTTCACCTTGGATTATCAACAATCCAACACGGGATGATCGCAGCACCAGTTTCCAAACCCAACTGGGGCCCAGCAGCCACGATGCCAGCAAACGAGTGACCTGGAATGCCATGTTCTCACCACGCTGGTTACCTCTCAGCATGAGGCCGATGTACACAGAGACTGGTGCCATGCAGCCGACTCGTGTTGAAGGAGGGCGCCCTCGCATCATAATCACTCCAGCCACATCCAGTGCAGATTTTGCAGGTGTGAACTTCCAGAAAACGGTACTTGTAATGGCTCAACAGCATGGTAAGCTGTTCGTCAAGCACGTCTACAACTTCCACCAGAGCACGGAGGAAAATGGTGACTTCTTAGCCGAAGCCGACCTGTATCGGCGCACATCTGATTACCTCATTGACAGCTCCCTCTTTCTCCATGTTGTGGTGAAACCATTATACCAAACCCTCATAACCCCTAAAAACTGATCCTTCTAATTTGACCAATCCAGCCCTCATTCATATCTGAATCCTAGCTGGGTCTTCTTTGTGTCTTTTCTCATAAAAGTACTGTTTTCATTGGGCAACTAAGATTTTGAGTGTTCTTGTCTGATGACAATATTCAAGAAGGAAATCAGAGTTAAAATCTCATAGCTTGGTGCTGCTCCCAGTTGTTGCACTATTGACTAAATCCCATTGAAAATCCAAAATGCTTAAAAAGCTTTTACAAGGACACCAATGTGGATTAGGAATTCAACAATTATTTAGCCTTTTTTATGATCTTATTTTGAATTATTGACAGTGGGAGGACGAAGAACATCCAGCAGGTTTGTTCAAGCTAAATATTGTTATGGTGCTAATTTCTCAGTCAGTTAGCATTGATCAAATGATTTTTTCTTTAAATACATTGTAACATACAATCTTTTAGGGCTCAAGAAGGAGTGTTATGTGTTGAAACCATATAATATATTTGATCGATAGATCATAAAACAATTGCTTCTCCTGCTTCATTTTTTACCCGAGGATTTGGTTTTATTTTTTCCTTTTCTTTAATTTTATACCCTCTACTTTAAAACAGTAGATGTCTCAAACTTAATCATTTAGTTTTTAGAGTATTGTTGTGTCTATATATGACCTCATGTTACTTATTAATAAAGGCTTTTACAATTTTGTGTGTGTTGTTGATTATCAAAACTAAAGTGCTTTGCAAATGTATTCACTCCAACTAAACCAATCAACTACATATGACACTGGTATGAAGTGAAGGAAAAGGACATACAGTTTCTAAAATGTTGTACACATGAAAATAAGTGTGGTATGCATTGTATTCACCTCATTCAGTTTAATAACTGAAAATAAAGTGTTATTTGTCAAAATGCCTAAATATGAAAAAACATTGAATCCAGGGGTAATTTAACGCTTAAAATAATGACAGCTGTTCTGCAAAAAACATTTGAGAACAAACGGAATGATGAGAACGTAGTCAGAGCTGGTCACAGAGAATATTTTAGAGACATCTATAACACAGTTAGGTTACAAAGCATTGTCCCGAGGTTTAAACATCTCATTGCACCGTTCAATCCAGCATTAGAAAAAAAATGAAAAAAGGCAAGACCACATATCTATCCTGGCCTTGACCATCCACCTAAACTGACAGGTTTAGCAAGGAAAGTTTGATCAGAGAAACGGCCAAGAGGTCCATGTTAACTCATGAGGAGCTGCAGAGACCATGAGCTGCATAGAATCTGGTAAATATGTGTGGACGTCATTATGGAGGTTAACCTGCTGGAAGCTCTAAAAGACTTCAGAAAAATGAAAGAAAGAATCCTGAACTTAGAACCCAACAAACAAATTGTTAATTATGTTTTAGGACTCAAAAAAAGACCTAATTCTGATTTTTATAGTAGCTGTGAGAATGAAAACATAAAATTCAAGGGGAAAAAAAGACAGATTAGGGGAAGAGTTTTTAAAATCTAGTTAAAATTAAATTAAAACTAAAGCAATCTTTAACACTCTTATTCAGACACATTAAAATAATAAATGCATTTTTATTTAGCAGGTTTAGGTAAATCTATATTTGATAGATGTTGAAAATAATGTAGACAAAAACACAGCAAACCCTTTTTTAATTTCATCTCATGTTTGTTATTCTTTTTCAAATATAACAAGAAAAAAAAAAAAATTGGAAACATCTTTATGACCAAAAAAAGAATAACTCAGCTTGATTAGAAAATTTAGCTTTTTTTTTAACTATCTTTACCCACAAGAAGAACTTAATATATTTATAAATATATTATAAATATATTATCAATTTATCAATATACTTAATAATAATATAAAATGTCAAATTTCATTAATTACATAAATAAAAGATAAAAACAAAACAAAAAGTATACTCATTTTAAATTTTGGCCAATAGTGTATTAACATTTTTTATTTTCTATTCTAAATACACAGATGCCATTTTATTTATTTGTACTTTATTTTCCTAGCAACCTTTTTTGATATATAAAAATAAAATTTAATGTTACATAAAAAAAAAACAACTCATCAAAATTTTAGATAAGGGTTATCATTCGCTACTGAGACTTAAAGATTTGATCTTTCTTCTTATTTTTTTAAAATAATTTAGTTTGAATAATAATAATAACAGATTTGTCATTTTTTTTCATTTATTTATGATCTTTTTATAAATAGATATAGTACTTATAACCAAACAATGAATAAAGAGATAAACTGTAGCAGAAGGTACCTGTGTAGGAATATAGAATGGGATTTTTTCTCCCCCAGCAATTTTAAGTAAAAACATTAAAAGCACCTTTTGCACATTTAACTTTGATCACAGAAATCAATATAATTTAAAAGTAAACATTAAATTATATAAACTAAGCCTAAAATAGATGCTGTCAAGGTAATCTTGTTCTTGTCAAAGTTGATGAGCAGATATTATAGTTAGGTTATTATTATTAGATTTGGACCCTTTACTACTGAATTTGTTCTTTTTTTTATCCAAAACTTTATTGAAAAGTTACAAATAACAAAACATTGATAAAAAAATATCACAACATATAGAATAGTATCTCCAAAATAAGTGTTCAATCCTCAATTTGTTCTTGTAAAGGCTATAATTCGCTTCATGGCGTCATTGCTCAAATATGGTGAAGGGCGGGGCTTAAGCGGGTTCACATATTTGTCATTTAAAGGTACACTATGCAACCGGTGTTGATTTTCCAGTGAGGCTCCCTCCAGAGGGCGAAAGTAAAAGTGCACTGTCGTAAATATGCACAGCTGTTCTCCTGGTTTCTCCGTCAAGCCAGACGCGGTTGTTTTGAGCTTAGCAGCGAATGACTAACGCTGCGTTCACACTGGACGTAGTTGGCGCGACAGAAGCAGCGAGTTTACATGCAAAGTCAATGGTTGACGCGTGTCAAGGCGCAGCAAAAGGTCCCGCGGCGCGTTTTGAGCACCAGGCGCAGCACGTCTGAGCAGCTGAAGCAGCGCGTCGGGTGCGTTTAACGCAGAGAGAGAGACACAGCGCTGATGATCTCTCCTCTTAAACAGTTTATTGACGCCTAAATTAACTTAAAATGCAGAAATCTGCCGGCAGAATATGCAGTTTGGATTATTTAGATGAAAAACACCTACCAGCTGCCACGGTGAACCGCTGCTGATGAAGGGATCCCTACTGTCGGCGCATCCCTGGTATGTGGGGGTCTGAGCGGCTCCGACAGAAAAAATATTGAAGGCAGGATAATAATCTGAATGAACTGACTGCACTGATTACGTTTTCAGGTGTATTTTCTCACTTAAACACATATTAAAACTACTTTATTCCCACTGATCACAGCAAATATAGCTGCAAGGCAGAGAAAGGATAGTGAAGCTCCGCCCAACATGCCTCAGACACAGCCGGAGCAGCAAAGCTGCTTCAGCCTCGCGTCAGAACTAACTGGTACAAGCAGCAAAAAGGAAGCAGCAGACGCGATTTTGCTGCTTTTGCTGCGTGAACGTAGCATAACTGCACAAAGATCGCCACTGTGCTAGCAACGAGAATGCTTTTAACTGGGGGCGTGTAGCAGTTCTCGCCGTAAAGCAAGACTGACTCTCACAAGACTTCTGAGCCTGTGGGTGCGGGTCGGTGCTCCTGCAGTTGCAAGTGCGGTATTTCCCCCACAGACCACCAGGGCGGCCGAGAATACCTTTGTTCAACCTGAAATGACTCATTTAATCATCCAAAACGCTATGGAACACATTAATTAACTGAAAAATGTTGCATAGTGTCCCTTTAAAGGGTGACATTTTCACATTTTCAATTTCGTTTTTCTCTAATCTCAAGAGTGAAGATATATAGATAGTTATGAATGTAAATTTTAAGCAGTAAATATCATATAATTTAAAACTGTTGCTCAATTTTTATTTTTTGTTTTTATTTTTATAAACTATATTTTATTTTCAAAAAAAAAATCAAATTTAAAAATGGAAATTAAATATCGTTATTTAGATTTTTTTCTTTTGTTTTAAGACATGTTAGGGCGTTAAGATTGTTTTAGATTGTAGTAAAACTTGATTGTTGTGTCATTAAAAGCTTCGCGCCGTTTTATTTTCTCGACTCAATTTCCCATAATCCTTTTCGACGCAAAGCAGGAAGAACGTCGTCTCGCAGGGGCTCACTCTGATCCAAGTTAGGAGCTTTCAGCTGCCAGCCTTGGCTCATCATGTAAGTGCTGCGGAGAATTCTTTGCAGCGCATTTGCAAAATTATCCGTTTTCCCGACGACCGCGCGGGCTGTGCATCCGTACCCGCGCGCCGTGCACGGACACGCACGCCTCGGACCCAACAAGCCTCCAAGTGCATGAAGATCGAGGCTTGTATTTTGCATCTTTGTTGCAAAGCAAGCCGCTAAAGCTCCAGTACGAGGGCGATGGAGGGAGGAAGCGAGAAAGAAGGCAAAGTCTTTTGTGCTTCCCCTCCCCCTCATCAAAGCAGAGGGGAAATGCCTCAGCCAAAGGGAGGTAAGAACATGAAGCTGATATGTGCAAAACTAGCCTCATGCGATCACAGCTGCACGGACTGCAACGTGCACGGCTGTAGCCCGAGCACGGCCGGTGCATTTTAAAGTTACAAGGCTTAGGAGGGTCAGTTGCATTTCCTGTTTGAGATCTTCCCCTTTGCACAGTTCCTGGTAAGACGATGCTGTGTGCTCTCATACTGACGCTAATAGCAGTGCACAGCCAGGGGATGTTGGGCATAGTCACGAGAAAAGACAAGGAGTCAAGTAGTCACTTTTTAATCAACTCCGCACGAGTTGATGCCACTGCTCAAGGTAAATCCTAAGTGCTATGTCATGCCCAGGGCCAAAAGTGTGCAGCTTTGTTGCAGGAGAGTGGCACAACCTGCAGCTGTCAGTGTTCAGATTTTTTTTTCCTGCAATTCTTCAAGACAAAATAGAAAAAAAGATCTATAAATAGAAAGTTGGCTTTAAGGAGGTGGAGAGCCGAAGAGCTGCACAGTCTGTTAAAAGTCTGCAAGGGAAAGGGTGTCAGCTGCTGTGTTTTTCCAGGATACTGGATATGAGTGAAACACCTGGGAGTGCACTGATGTGCAGCATGCTTGTCACACTTTGACCCCAAACTCTTACAGCTTTCAGCAGCTACAGGCCCCCAGACTCTCAGCTCTATGGGACCTTCAGTGCAGACAGTTTGCATGTAGCTCTTAGGGGGGGAAACAGCTGCAGTAAATGCTGCTCAAGTTTTTTTTTCCGTCTTCCTCCCCTCTGTGTTTTCCCAGAAGTCCAAAGTGAGGCTGGTTTATTGCACAACATGCAGAGCGCACACAGAAAACACTGACTGCAACCTAGAGGGGGGGTTGTACAGGTAGGAGAGAGAAAGTCCCAGATGGTCAGGGCCTGTTTATCAGCTGCAGTCAAGTGTCCACCCGCCTACACAGAGGAACTGTCTTGTTGCAACCAGCTCATCCTGTGATGAATAATGCACACGTTTTATTTATGTTTTGTACATGAATGAGTCGGTCAGGGGCTTTCCTGAGAACAGAAGTGGGTTTCGGTTGTCACTTTGCTGACGTCGTACCGTGCATGAGGCCCCTGAGCCGCCTAATCTATCTTTACAGATTTTTCTTTCATTTCAGATTTTGTTTGCAGAGATCTAAAAGAGAACAAAATGGTGCTGGCACTGGAAAAAATGCTTCCAATGATCACCTTAGGGCCAAACAGCTGCAGAGACATTATCAGTGCTTTGCAAAGAGTAGTTATGAGTAAAATATACAAAAAATAGATTTGTTTTCTGCAGCTCCTCCAGTGTGAGCTATTTCAAATAAAAAGTAACTTGATTTGGAAATCTGGAATTAAAAAAATTTTTTTTTTTGCCTTTGTAAGTCACTTCGTGGTTATTTATTCCGGCTGGAGGGCAGCACGTTGGTGTGGTGGTTGGCCCCATCGCCTAACAACCAGGACCTTTCTGTGTGGAGTTTGCATGTTCTCCCTGTGTCTGTGTTGGTTCTCTCTGGGTTCTCCCGCTTCCCACAGTCCAAAAAAATGCATTTTAGGTTGATTGGACATTTTAAGAGTAAGTTTGCGTGATTGTTTTTGCATGTTTCTGTGTGGCCCTGCAATGGACTGTTGGACCGTCCAGGGTGTGCCCACTGATCTCTATTTATTTTCTGGATCTCTGTGTCACTACCTGATCCGTACCGGAAGCACGATCGGTGCCATTGGCTCATTTGTAAATGTGCAACCGGATATACATCCGGGTCTACCTTGATTTTAATTTGTAAAAAAAAAATGTAATTACATTTTTCCCTCCTTAAAAATAGTAACCATACTAAACTATAATGTGTTAAAGGTGAATAATGACAAAATAAATGAATTAAAATCCTTTCTGTTTTATCGGTCATCTGTGCCCGATCTGTGTCGGAAATAGAATCCTACGCTACTTCCGGGAGCACATTTTTTCTGCTTTGTATTTGAGCATAAATCTAGTCTTTTCAAGTTTCATTTTTTCCATTCATGTTAACCTTATGATATATAGTGCATAATCTAAAGAAAGACACAATTAAAATCCAGGTAAACATGGTTTAATCATAATTTGCTGGACTACTCTGAGCATGTCCGATGATGACGTCAGACAAGCACTTTAACGGAGAAAATATAAAAAGCATCAAATTCTCCATATATAGCCCATGCACGTTTTTTTTCTTATGCACATCCTTCTTTGACTATTTGAGCTGATGTAATGAGTACATTAGTCTATGGTGAGATCAATAAAGTCAATCAATCCATATCCAGAGAATAAATGGAGATCAGTGGATGTACCTCACCTTAAGACCGTTGACTACTGCAATAGGCTTCAGTCCCCCCCGTGACCCCTTTAGGGAATAGGCGATTACGTTGATGGATGGATGGATGGATGGATGGATGGATGGATAATCTGGCTAGTAAAGAAGAAGAGTAGCAAATCGTAGTGCTGATATGTTGCAGTTTGCCCCACCTTCTACTCGACGTTGATTTAAAAGCTGGCGCCAAGCGCACAAAATATAGAGAACATTGCATCAAAAATAAAACTAGATGAAGAGCTAAAGCTATTTTTAATTGCTTTAAATAAATATTCTTTTACAGGACCTTTTGTCGCAGTTAGTATGATTTAATTTGTTGGTACCATGATCCATTAATCCACCCTCTTCCCTGTATAGTCATGGGAGTGCAGTTGCGTATTTTGATCAGTTAATTTGAAGGGAGACTTCACAGGCCAGGGATCCATAGTCTGTTTAATATATTTGGTAATGGTTTATGCTTAAAGAAGGAAAAAGTTCTGCAAAATCATTAGGAGTTTCTTCTGTGTCTTTAGGTAAACTATTTTTAGTAAATTTAAGTGATACGTACGAGTCAGTCACTTCTTTTCCTGTGATGTTTTTATCCCGGCTGTTATAAAAGGAACAATTCTATAGGCCTTAAAATCAACAGCCTTATTATTATTATATAGAAAGTTTGCCATTGATTTGTTTGCATATTATTAATCAATCTAATGCAATCATTTACAACTCATTCAGCTTAGGGAAACTTTTTTTATTTATTTTTTTAATAAAAAAGATATAATTAAATCACCTGTACATTCTCACCCAGTATGATTAAAGCGTATCTTAAAGACGACGAGGTAGTTTGATATTTTCATTCTGCTTAAATGTAATTAGATTATTTAATTGATGTGGATCTATGTCTTGTCACCTTAGTATTTTATTCTTGGAAAAACAGTAAGCGGTTTTGTAGGGAAACAAGGCAATCCCTTGTAAAGCCTGTAAAGCGATGACAGCATTTTAAAAGTAAGACTCCTGAGCAGAGGTAGCATTAGACTTTTTTTGTCTGTCAATTTAACTGAAAAGGTCAGGGGATTTCCATCTCACTTTTTAAAATCTTTATCACTATTATTTCTGATAATTGGACTTTCTGAAGCATTTATTTTCATTATTTCAATTAATATCCAGTTGGGCTGAAATTATTAATCGAATTACGGTAACGGATTACTGAAATAACTGTCAACTAATTTAGCAAATCCATATTATTGTGAACTGGAGTATAGAGACTCTAAAACAGGATTTTTCAGTAAAACTATTAAATATCAGAACAGCTTGCCATAGATGACGTTACTGTGAAATTATTACAGAATTTTTAGGGTCCGTCAATATTCTCTATCCAGAACTCCTCAAGTGCAAAAGTTTTAGTTTCACCTGGTTTAAATTCTATAAAAATTTTCCTTTAAGCAACCTTTTGCTATTAGATTATTAGTTGATTATTTAAAAAAATAATCGACAGCTTAATCGATTAGCAAAATGATTAGTTACAGCCCAAATATTCAGTCTGAACAAGCTGAATAGAGAACCTCAGATTAATTTCTCTGTAGTCACAAAATAAACTATGAATGTGTTCATGGTAACAATATAAAGATATTATGAAAAAAAGGATGGCACTGAAAGAAAAACGGATAACCTGCTGTGGCCTAAACACATGGTCTCACAGCTTCCTCCTGCTCTGCATGGACCTGAATAGTGCAATGACTTGTGCATATTTAAATGTCTGAAGTTGCATTTTGTCATCTTTTTTGGGACTTTTGCCTTGGACACTCACTGTTTTTGTTTTTTATACTGTTCTGGAGGCTGAATCTGCGCTCTGCCGCCAAACTGTAGACTAGAATTAAAGCACTACTTCGACCAAAGTTTTAAAATATCTGAAAATTTCTCCAAGTGAAGTGATCAGAAGTTGGCAAAACTCTAAATAAGAAACTTCCTGATCCGACAAGGGCTCCATCCAAATTGTGCAGAATGGTAAGGACACTAATGCTTGGTTTATGCCTGATGTGTTCACGAGATCCGGCCAGAAAGGGGGGAAATGCAATACAGTATAAATGCTGCATATGTTGTGACGAATGGCTCATTTTCCATGCGGATTATACAGTAGTCAAGCATAATTGCCGCTGTAATTCCATTAAATACTTTTTGTTGGAGAAAAAACACCACCAAAAAATTAAACTCTGAGCCACTAGTACAAAAAAAGGGTTGAAATAAAATTCTACATGCAGCTATAATCAGCTTCATTGGCTTCATCAAAAAAAAAAAAAAAAAATGGATAAGGGCCAAATAGTACAGACTTGCTTGTCTTTATTAGGGCTGAGACAATTATTGTATAATTATATATATTAATTATCCTGATAAATAATCATCAACTAATTTAGTAATTGATTAATTGTTTACTGGAATATAGAGACTCTAAAACATGCCTTTAGCTGATAGAGGAACCCACTTAGAGCAGTAATTATATCGAAATTGTTTAAAAATATTAACATGTTAATTTAAGATAACAAAAACCTATTTGTCTGTGAATATGCTCTATCCAGAACTCCTCAAGTTGAAAAGTTTTAGCTTCATCTTATTTGATTTTGCAAAAAGTCTTCTATAAGGAACCTTTTTAAAATAATCGATTTGCAAAATAATCGTTAATTGCAGCCTT